ATATTCTTCACCCTCATTGGCAGTCGTTTCAATTGCTCACCTCAAATTTCAGAAAAGTTTGACCCGCCCAGTTTGCTTTGCCAGTTATTTCCCTTGTCGTTGCTGAATGTCACTGAGTTTTCATGGTCACTGCTTACTGCTTCGAGTGTACGAGTCCTTAAAGTTTGGCATTTTAACATTGGGGTGTAAGGGGAGTGACTCACTTTTGGAGGCAGCCTGTAGTGGCTGTAGTGTTTGGCACTTCTTTGTCGGCTTACTTTTTCTAAATTGTCTCCAAAACAAGCAGGTAACTGTTTCCCACATACATCACAGTGATAGTGCCGGATTCAGAACCCATTTACAGGCAAACAAGACATGAAGCCAGAATGGATTTCCTTGAGTTGCCACTTAATCCTCCATCCAACATCAAGTAAACCTGCATAGACAAACATGTTAAAATGCCAAATTTTGCAGCTTAAAATACATGTTTTTAGCCTGGGACAAAAACCTGTTCTCTAAAGCTAATTTACCCCTTCATATCAATAAGGCCAGGGTAGGAGAAAGTATAAACCACCAATTTAAACTTAAGGCTTAAAGAAGAGATGTGACTGACTGGCTAGTGAATGCCGGCTGTAGCTGAGAAGTGATCACCAGGACTCAGCTCCTTCAATCAAGTAACTAAAGTGAACCTCCACATGATGTTTGTGGTGTTTTTGTGGGATTGTCTTAGTGCTACTTACAAACCACCTGTGAAATCTGTGATCCAGTTTTGGTCCAGTTTGTTATTAAGTCTGATGATGGTCGCTTAAGAAATTAACACAGCAGCAGCCAAAATGGTACCAACGAGGCTTCAATGAGGTTTCACAAATGACTGATGTGGCAGCGATTGTGCCCAACCACTCCGGGACCAACATGGAACCACAAAAGAAGGTTTCAGATAGTTTTACCTTCATTTAATTATGAGATTTATGACCCTACCCATAAAAACTTTTAACAACCGTCCTTTGAAATGACACACTTTTGCACTGACATCTTTCCAAATGAAAAAGAAAACTTTGAAGCTCTCTCATTTACCTCATTATCTAGCAATAACCAACCACAGCACTGTGCAATTCCCTGTCGGCTTTTCATTGAGGCAGATGTTTAAATTACCGGGGGCGCTACTTGGTCGCCAAGTTGAAGAAGGGATTCCCTCTTCTTTTTTTTTCCTCTGCTAATAATGAACATCTGTTTACTGTTCCCATACCTTTATCAGCTCTGGGGATAACAAGCCAGCTGCTGTAGATGTCTTTTAACTGTAACTGGACCAAGGTGTAGATGAAAGTGTGCATATAATAAACTTGCATGGGTTTTTTTGTTTGTTTTTTAAAAAACAATTATGCATATCCACATGGGGAAACATTTTTTGTCCATCAGTTATTTTTAACGCAGCCTCTCAGACAAACAGGGGAACATCAGTGCCCGACTCTCATCTGCCAGCATGTGAGAGGACTTCTCTCTCCCCGGCAGCATAAGCTCCCACTCTCACTGTACACGTGAGCGCTGACGTTGTGTTTATCTGATGTCAGGCAGATCAGACCCAGAGCTCGGCGTGCAGCAGCTGATCTGTGCGCCAACCAGCTGATAACTGCCACCGGCACAATCGCATTGCATTACGCAACTCTGCGTGTGTGTGTGTGTGTGTGTGTGTGTGTGCAGCGCTCATCATCATGATGTTCATATACTGCGGACAGCTGTTTAAGAAACATTTCAACTGTGTGATGCGCAGTCACATCAGTGCTTG